TTTACAAGGAAACAGCATACATCAATTGATTCGAAATTTGATCAGGATTCCAGATATGCTGCCCCATTTCCTGGACAACTGTTAATTTTTGCGAAAGAAACGAAATACTGTTTCTTCCTTTTCCAAAGCCATTCGGAAAATCGATTTTATACGAGATCTTTGCAAAAGCACTTCTGATCTCCGGAAACTGAGCCAGAAATCTATCAGTTTTTTTCCATTAATAGATAGTCAAAAGTGTCTTCTCGAAAGTGCGAACTTCGTTAACTCTTAAGTTTCCCCGGTTCAGGTGTGACATCGGAATTCCTGAGGATCCCAGAATCAATATTTCTTTAAGTGTGGTAATCCCGAAAATAATCGAAACATAAGTAATCAATCACGCTGAATCTTGTGGCAATATTTGTATTAATATTTGCAGAAAAACCTCCAACAGCCTAGTGAAAGCCTTTACTAGGTGCAATAACTTATTTTTGCCTATTTTCAAGTATAATTAAAAAGTTCAGAATCCAGTCAAGATCCATCCAAATTATGTCAGAATATTAAGCTGTACTCTATTTTACCTGCTCAATACTATGCAGTTCAATAAAAGCTTTAAAAATCGTCAGAAAGTACTTCGGTTTTTGCAAAGGCTTTTGTAGAAATATTCCGAAGTACAAGAATGATTTTTACTATTCTCAAGTAAAAAATCATATTGAGCGGGTAAAATAGAGTACAGCTTAATATTCTGACATAATTTGGATGGATCTTGGTTGGATTATGAACTTTTTAATTATACTTGAAAATAGGCAAAAATAAGTTATTCTATCTAATATAACCTAAGAGTTAACTAACTTCGCACTTTCGAGAAGACACTTTGGACTATCTATTTATGAAAAAAAACTGATAGATTTCTAGCTCAGTTTCCGGAGATCCGAAGTGCTTTTTCAAAGATCTCCTATAAAATCGATTTTCCGAATGGCTTTGGAAAAGGGTTTTGCTTATGAAAACATAGGTTAAACTGTCTTCTTTCGATTGTTGGAAATCGCAAATTCCTGTCTTTTATCGTTATAGACTTATTAGAAAAACAACCGAGTGCCTTGAATTTTGGTGCAGATAGTAGTAGAAATGTTGTTATTGACGTTATCTTTGTTGTCTTTTCTTGTGTACTTCAGTTTTAACTCTACCAAATTTTATTGAGAAAGAACAAAAGCTATCTACCTGTAGAGATATATTTGATTGACTTTCAAATCTCCAGACTCAACTCCAAATAACTTCAAAATCAATGAAATAAACTGATACTTAAAAATAGCTAAGTGTCACTTCGTCACTTAAAGTGACACTCTAAGTGATGAAGTGTCACTCAAAGTGAGAGACACTTCGAAGTGTGTGCAGCAAAGTTGGAGGTTATTTCCCCTTTGTTCACAACTCTCAAAAATGTTTTCTTCAAGCACAAAATAGAGTAGAACTTTTTTAACCGTTAAAGAACAGTTACCAGTAGAACGGTAATGAGGCCGAAATGCGAAAAGAAGTACAAAGTAAAAAATACATATTCTGAAACGATGCGTTTTTCGAAAAATTTGATTCTTCGAAGTTTTTCAAAGTTTTTGGCCTGGAACAACTATTTCCAAAATCTAAAAGCCAGTTTTTTCTAATTATGTCGTTTTGCTCTATCCAACCATGTAAAAGAAAAAGAAACACACATTTTACGTCTCGTTCGAATTTCTGTTTCCGGCATAAATATGAGAACTTATTTATGGGGCTTGGTTCTGTTGTTGTTTCTTTTTATCTGGCAGACCTAGTACTTGTACATGATGAACAAATAGACCTGCGACAGCTGCACCAAGTAGTTGTGCAATCCAGTATATATATTGATAGTCCCATCTATTACTGAAAATAGCCGGTCCAAAGAGCCGACACGGATTAAAAGCACCATCGCTGACCGAACTCCCTATGAGCATCATACAAAATATGGTAAATCCAATAGCGAATGGAGCAAAACCAGTTCTTGCTTGTGGCGTTGTTACAAACAGAGCCAAACCCTTAGAATTTTGTATCGTTTGAACATTTGCTGATGATCTAGCTAGTTTTTTCTCGGTTTGTGCTTCTTCATAGGCAACAGTAAACGCAACGTAAGTAAATGTAAATGTTAAAAACACTTCCATTGCAAAAACTCGTGCAAGATCAGTGGTTGGCGGAATCACGGCAATTTTGGTGTAAAGATCTGATGGATGAGGAAATATGAACCAAATGATACACATGGCCAAGATTGAACCGATTAACTGTGCAACGATATAGCCGACAAACCGACGATGTGACGTTTTTCGAGTGACATAAGTAGCAAAAGTTATAGCAGGATTAAAATGGGCGCCTGATATACTCGAAAACGCATAAATTAATGCAACTGCAATCAAACCGGACGATATCGCAGTAAAAAATGCTTGAATACTCGGATCAACTTTATTTCGAACCGTACTTGCTATGGTTGCAAACATTGTTGTGAAAAACAGTGTTGTACACAAGAGTTCTCCACACATTGCTCGTATTGCTAATAGCAATCTGGCACGTGTTGCTTCGGGAGATCTTCGATCTTCATATTCTCCAGCTATTATTTCATCAGAGATGGCAGAAGGATGGGTATTTAGAATAGTACTATATTTAGATATATTTCCATTAACATTATCATCTTGATCCGTTATTAACGGTTGTGTAACTGATGCCATTAAGTGCTCTCTTACTTGTTTCGTATTGTAGAATTGCTATATGTACCACTTAAAAAAGATACAACACATAATCACTCAAGCATTAATACAAGAGAAAAATGAAGACAAGCGAGATGTGTTACTAATTATCCGAATCATACGTATACATTAGTGTGAATATATACTATTATACTTTAGACAAAATAAAAGAGAAATATTGCTGGAGCGTCATGATAACTACTAGAATGTCTTTTAGAGAGGCGCAATTAAATAGCTCAAAAAAGCTTAATCCTGCAGCAGTCATCGTTCAAACTTTCAATCGAAAATGAAAAGCCTTGTTTACACAGACAGTTGTTGATACCGAATTCATATATGACATTTGTTCAACAAAGAAAAGCAGGCGAATGAGTGCTCCTTCATGCGTGAACTATTTAATATTCTAGCGTCATGTTAAGAAAAAAGTGTTAGCGGCGTTTAATATATATTTAACTGTAATCACTGATGCACTGAAATGATGAGTGAATTGTACATATACATTGCAGGGTGTATGTAGCGGTGTTTCTGAGAAGTATGAGGCTTTAATTTATATTTCGTAAAATTCTATTGTGCATATTGCAGTATGTAAAGTCGTTCTGCAAGTTATCATTGCAGAAAACGTTTCATTCACAAACGGTATCTAAGCAAGACGGTTTTTCAGAATCTGCTTGCAGTGTTCTGCAGTGATCTGCTTGTGGTGTTTTTATAAACATTTTCAAAAAGTTTCAGAAACCTTTGATGTAGTTAAAAGCAGTATGAATTCGAGATGAAATAAATAATAGTCCTTTTCTACCGTTTTATTAGTTTGAGATTTTATTGGTTCTGTATATTCGTTTAGAATTGCCTATTTAGCTTTATGAAGTGTTATTTTTTAAATATGTAGTTTTGTTTCTTGTAAAAAGATCGTGGCATAGTCAACATTATAAACTAAAAAGGCAAGCAAAAGAGTAAACGATTCTAGATCTAATTCGAGAAGCAGAATTATCAAAAAGAGAGAAAAATTGTTTTCCTGAAAAGCACCGTAAGTAAAACACGAATACTTTTTCGTTTTGCTGCGGCTAGCTGTATTCCAACAAAATGCAGGTACCAACTGTTAGTTGATGAAAACAGTCTTTTTCATTTCGAGCTTTAAAAAAGACCCATGGCACACAGATGTATAAGAAAAAAAACAATTTATGCAGAATGGAGAAAAAATAGCAGAATAGAACCAAAAAGTTTCCACGTAGAAACAGTATTTCGTTTCTTTCGCAAAAATTAACAGTTGTCCAGGAAATGGGGCAGCATATCTGGAATCCTGATCAAATTTCGAATCAATTGATGTATGCTGTTTCCTTGTAAACTATCCCAAAGGCAAAGTGATCTGCTTTGCTTAGTGAGCACACAAACATGTTTAACACACAGATGCTTTTCAAGGATGAGGCGACAAATGTTTAACGCAACGATGAATGTACAAGGAGAACATTTGATGACGTTAATAGCTCTTCTATCATTTAATGTGAAAACCCATTCAGAAATAACATGTCAAACGCATCCTTTATCCCTTCGTAGCTGCCCTTACTTTGTAACACCATAGCTGTCCTGGAGTCCAGTTGGACCCACCTTGAGAAAATATTTTAAAACTAGCGGTTCTTTCTTTCGTTTAAGCATTTAATGCATGGATCGAAGACATTAATTACCCTCGATGTCTGCACGTAGATACATCGAGAAATATGTCGATAATACATTAGCTCGGAGTTCAGAGAACATTTTTTAAAGAATTTTTACACCTCATATATATATATATATATAGCTATTCTGGGACTCAGCCACTTAAATGCATGCTGTGAACATGCGCTGATATATCGAAACTCAATGGTCCTCAGATAGAAAATACAAAAGATCATGTTCTTACTTTGTTTTTTATTTGGTGTGGATAAAAAGTGTCTTAAAATCATCAAACTGTCTTTTCTACTGTCTACTATAAATAAGTCTACTGTTGCTATTGTTCTAGTGTATTTTTGCTTATTCATTATACGCTGTTTCAACTAATCACTTGTGACACGAGTGACAGGTCACCGTTGTGATGCTGTTGGAATGAGAGAGACACACGTTCTGTCCACAACCATCACATATTTGACGAAACTTACGTCCAGATTTTGCTGGGCAAATATAGCATCGTTTGTTCGCTCGATTTACATTCGTATTAACGCTGCGGTCTTACTTTGTATCTAGCTGGAGATCATAGTCGAGACATTGTGCAGGAAGTTTGACTTTCGGCATGAGGTGCTGCGTTAAATATACTACGTATAGTGAATTGGCACTATGTTTAAGTTAGGATACTGGGAGAATCTTCTTGTCTCACTTAACTAAAGAACCCGGGCTTACGGCTAGGTGAAGTCGAGAGAAAAATTAAGTGATAACAATCCAACGAATGCCTTTTCTAAGAGAGTTACCAGAACAATAGAGGAGGTTACCTGAAAGTCTAGTGCCATATGAAATAAATGTCGGCGTCGGCGCACGCATAGTAGAAAAATGTAATAACTGGGAAAGTGTAGAAGTCTCGGTCATGAAAATGGTAGAGTGTATATAATCGACCATGGCGAGTCAGAATGAGCGACCTCAAGGAGTAATCCTATTGGTCGAATTGTTTTTTCGATTAGATGGAATGAAATTGATATGGCTGCGGTTATCGAGTACGGTGAATCAGAAAACCACTATGGGTGACCTTCAGCAGCAATACTATTGGTCGAAATTTGCCTTTATACTGCTTTTTAATACGTAGGAAACAGTGAGTCATGTGTCACTAATGGATAAACCACCACAGTTTTTGTTTATTGGGTGAAGAAAAAATCAGCGGAAGGGCAATTGGCACTCCCGGAAGTGTCAATAAGGAGCTATTGGTACTCCCAGCAAATGTTTGAGAGTATCAACTAGGAGCATTTGATACTCCCGGGAGTGTCGACTATGCACTATCAGCATCATAGTAAGTGCAAAATTCGATGCTGGCTGCGAGAAGTTCGAAACAACAGTTAGTATCTGCACCTACATCCACAACGATCAGTGTAAAGCATGGAAGACGAGCGCCTTCCAGGTATTCAAGATTCAATGATTGAGATTCGTTATTTGATTCAGACGGTGATGCATTCTAAAAATAGAGAGTTTATTGATCGATCTATTTCTGCATTATATGTTTTTCGTTTATTTGTCCAGAAGCCGATGCACGTGATACAATGGTTAACACAAATGCATCAACAAATATCGCTGGTATTACTAGCACCATACCCATTGCAAATAATATTACTAACGTAAACAGTACGCATACATCAATGGATTCATCGACAAAATCATTGAGTCCACAATCGGCAGTACGAACAGTTGTGAAAAGTCGGTGCCGATCACCAATATACAAACTGCATAATGGTGCCGGATCGATCGATATGCCGATAGCTGGTTTACCGCTCGGTATCGGTTTCTTTTTTGTATTTAGAAGATTTTAGTTTTGCTTGAATGACAGTAGATGACAACTTATCAATGTTCTTTTTTTAAAATAAAATTATGATCATGTTTCGTACATATGAAGAATTCTGTTAATATTCAGGGAAAAAAGCGATTACTCTTCTTTGATCGATTGCTTCTGTTATTAAAGGGATAGATTATATAGATTATATTATTGAACTACTCAGTTAAATGTTTTAAATTAAGAAGTTTATATAAGCCGACAAAGCTTAAGTAATTGGAGTGAAATTTTAGTGGAAGAAATATGTCACAAATGAACTGAATTTACACGATATTTTTCGAAAAATCGTATCATACCTAAATATCAGGAATATTGATTGACTGATTATACTTCATACTAATGCCGGTATAACGGTCGGAGTTATAATTCATATCGGTACCGTTACCGGCTGCACCTCTCGTTCATGTCAAATAACCGATCACGTAATAACCGATTACTCACAAGTTCGACTTGGTTCGTATTTATCAACCTCATTCAGTTTCCTTTCGACGTCGTTTTTCTCAAGAACTTCGTATATTCCCCAGTTATTTTGTACAGCACATTTCTGTTAATTGATTCACCATATTCATTCAATGTTCGCAAAAGATGCACAATATATTGTTCCTCGTTGTCATTCAAGTAGCGATTACGCCCAGCACCAACTTTAGTTGATTTATAATTAACATCTTTTCGAATTATGCTCCTTTGATGCAGTGATCGAGTTTAAGCTACCATTTTCTATGGCAGCGACAGCATTTTTTAAATCATCATCTGAATAAGATTTCCGAGAAGATTTTTATTTAACTATATAAGTAGTAATATTGGTGTTATTATTTGTACTATGTGACATGTTATCTAAAATACAGGTGCAGTTGAACTACATAGTTTTTACGGCACATGCATTCCACGAGTTGGTGCAAAATGCTTATAACTTTTGAGTGATAGAGATCTGCGGTTTTCACCATTCAAAAGAAGAAATCAGGCGATGTATACCCATGGAAAAAAAGCCGGTTTCTCGCCTGTTAGCGCCAATAATTTTTTCGCGATAACAGGCGAGAAACCGGCTTTTAACCAAACTGGCTTTTCTGGAGCTGTGGTTGGACGGGGAATGAAACGACCGTCGCCACGATGGGCAGTGGGGTCGATTACCTATGATCCACATATTTCTGAGATTCCCAGACGTGTCTGCAATGAGATAAGTGTGTCTTCGGAAACGTCTGCATCTCCAGAACCAAAGGAGATAAAGACCTGTATCACCTTTCATTCAAAAGTTATAAGTATTTTGCTACCTAATATATCTAAAAACGAATAAAAACCTTCCTTGGTTAGAAGTTTAACCTTCCGTGGAACGAGATCTACTCGGACAGATAGCTCTTTCAAGGATGAATCGAATGGTATATAAGAAGTCTAGTTTGAGTGAATTTTTCATAGAGATTATCTCATTTTAGCTCGCGGGACATTTTTGCAGTAAAATGCGCTTTTCTCAGAAACGACTAAAGCTCTAAAGTCGAAACTTTAGGAAAATGTTTAATATCATACTGTAAGGAACTGCTAAAAAGATGAAAGCCAAATGTTGGATAGTTTGAGAGATATCAATAAAAAAATTTTCAAAAACTCGCGGGACACTCAGTGTAAAAATAACCGTTTTTAAAAATGTTTTGCTTCTTTCTAACGGAAGACAAAATTTTTTAACTAATTTCTTTTTTTTATCAAACTTTACTCTGACTGCCAACTATCTTTTCCGTATTTTCGATCAGATTTAGGTCAGGTGTGGACTGAGTTACATCGCGCTGATCCTCGCCTGCATGCGTACATAGTCCGGACGTTGTTAGTGTTAATTCACCTAGAAACTGTGGGTGAATTGAGAATTCATTCATTCACTTTAAAAGTTCTGTATGTCTACTACAATTGACTCTTAAAGAGTACGATGAGATAATGTTTCGTTCCAATAAAAAACGGATTTTATTGTCGGTAGGTGTCAGCTAAAATCATGGTTTTTCATATTGAGTCACTAATAACTCAATAACCACTTGTAATTCTGAGCTGCTGTTTTCAGGGTTAGTGAGCATAGTTTAGATGATTAACATATAAAAATTTCACTTAGATCCATTCACTAATAAAAAAGTTATGGCTGTTTTACATGTTGGATATGAATGGTTACCAGTGCAATTAGCCCATATAATTGTAAGTCACTAATGAGAACTCATCTAGAAAAACGTTTTAAAAAGTAAAAATCCCTATTCATCTGTGTTAAAAACGCTTGAAAATATGAAAAAAATATACGTTATAATTACAGACAGTGAAATCTGAGTAAAAGTTGGTCTATTTTTGAAAAACTATGATCAGTGGATACCCGAGACATTTTTTAGTATATTTTGTCTCATGAACATCCACAGACTCCATACTTTAGGTAGCGAAAAAAACTTTTCTTCGAAAGGTCGTGAAAAACGCGTGTATTTGAATGGGGATGTTCTTATTAAATACACAGAACAACCAAAGTATTCTTATTAAATACGGTATTTAATGAGAGCAGACATATGGGTAGATTCAGATTGTTTCAACTAGCGAAGTCAGCAAGAGTTAACAAAATAACGCACATGGTTCGATTCCGCATTGAATTTTGAGTAAGTTTAGTATTATACATATTCCTAAATTCCGTAGGTCGAGCAGCAAAAATTTCGATTCCAGAAATGCCGATTTTCGTCAAAAGTATTGATTTTGAAGGAAAGAAAAGGATTTTTTTCTCGCATTTTCTTCGTGCTCTATTGAAATAACGTATGAGAAAGTTTTGTTCTCACTCATACAAAATAAAATAAAGATGATGAAGATAAAGATTAAGATAAAGATTTGTTTTAAAACGAAAGTTTTTATCTTTTGTTGTTATTCCCATTTGTCTATGTTGCATTTCTTCAGATAGCTAAGTACAATGCTTTGCGATGCTATCTGAGATGCTTATTTCAGCTGACTAATAAATATAGATTAAACCAAAGATAAAGAGATGAAGATAAAGATGAAGGTAAAGATGATGAAGACAAAGACAAAGATAAAGGTAAAGATAAATCATATGCTAGTACATGGCTTATATCATCGTATTCTCTAGTCTTTTCTTTTTCCTACTTACTTTACTTATTTCTCTTCAACAAATTCAGGCGAGGACGAGCGCTTGAGGGCCAAGATAAATTTTATCGTCAAGGTATCCTTTTTGCCTTCATATTTCTTCCTTTTATTTTCGTGTTGCGGTCTGTTCTACTGTTGAGAGTTTGCTTTCCTTTTGATGTCAGATAGATCGTCGATAACACACAACAAATAGTCATTCTTTTGAACATTCGTAGTTTATTAGCATCTGCATTTTTTAAAAATAAGAAGATTGACTTACTTATTAAATACGATCAACTAAAGACTCTGGTGGCTATTGAAAATCCGATTGTGGTAGCCCTTGTAGAGTCATGGCTTGATAAACATATCAATGATAATGATATATCTATACTAAACTATACATCATATCGCTTAGATAGAGAAATGGTGGCTGTTTAATTTACTTTCGCAATGATGTGTTGGTTAAAGGGTTAAACGATTTTGATAACTCTAATTTTGAAACTATGTTTTTCGTTGCTACCTTGCCCGCTACTGGGAATATTTTGGTTATTTTATCATATAGGACAGAATCCAATCTAGATGTATTTGAAACATATATGAAATTTTTATCTAAGTCTATGTCTACTACCATTTCTCTGCGATATCTTTCTGGTGTCCTACTATTAGGTGATTTTAATGCGCACTGCTCAAAATGGTGCAATAAGAAACCCTCTACAGCCGAAGGCAATAAATTTTTTTTTGTACAAAATTTAGGGTTTTTTCAACTAGTACGTGAGCCAACTCGACTCTCTTCAAGAACGTGTTTAGATTTAGTGATTATAAACAGTCATAATCTTGTTAAGGAAACAAAAATGTTATCTACCTTGTGTGAGACGTGCGACCATGCGCCAGTTTGAATTCAGCTAGACGGCAGAGTCCAACCTTCATCAGATACTTTTCGTAAAATCTGGAACTATAGCACGGCTTGGCCAGCTAACGGTACACCAGAGTGCGGAAGTATGAAGCGTTAAATGAAGTGGTAAAACTAATCTTATGTGAAAGAGCACACTTTAAAGTGTAGGAAAATAATTTTCGTTTATTTGTACTAGTACCTGAACACATGGAAAATATTCGGTGAACATGTAATCGAAACAAACCTCCCAGCAGTTTATTTTATGCACGCATCTACAGAAATATAGAAGAAAAAGCTTCTACAATAAACAGAACGAAAAAA